CTGCTCGTGACCATTTTGTATAACAACTGTGTAACGTAACTCACTGCCTGCATGCAAGATTCCTATAACTGTGATTCTTTTTATAAATAGGACAAAATTTGCCATTTTCCCCTGTGTTGTTTGAAATGAATGCTCGAAAGTGCTTTTTGGAGGGGGCACCGTTATATTTCCTGGTTCCGCTAACCATTCTTAGAATCGTTAGACGATGCGAAATAGGTACAGTGCCTGGTAAAACATTAATCGGAGTTCCAAAGTGTGGTTTTAGCCGCAATGGACTACTTAAATGGTGTTGTACCATGGACGACCATTCAAGATAACTCCTATTTCGGTCACGCCAGAGAATGCGCTTCCACGTGCACCAGTCTTGTGTCGGATATTTTTACGGAAATTTCGTCTTTTCAAAATTCCGAATTATTTTGGCTCAACGCGCCATTTCACTTACGAGTTGAACACTCTCTTGGAGGGAAGTAACACATCGCTCTGCAATAGAAGCCTGCAATGCACAGTTTATAAAATTGTATAAATGAGCAGATATCTCACGAAGAAATTTAAGAAACAAAAAGATACGATGCCATTTGAAGAGTCATTTACCTGACTCATAATTGTAAACCTTTTAAAGCGAGCGAAACAGTTAAGAGGCAATCAACTACAAAAAACAGCACCGAGAAAGTGTTACACAGTACCTGTTGGATTTAAGAGCATCGAGAATCCTCGGAAGGAATTATTAGCATTGAAGTAGACTTTCAAACCAGTGCTTTTTCGCTACAGGCTGGAGACGGTTGCATTTAGAGGGCGAATTGCCGGCTTTACTCGAATAGTTTCCGAGTAGCTTTCAGTATTACGATTAATGTTTTAGGAGATTTACAATATACTCTAAATACCTCGGAGTAATAAAGTGGCAATATTCGGTTGTTCGCATCTGACACGCAAAGATAGAGAACACATCTCAATTGGCGATTACTAGACTACCATGCAAAGATGAAGTAGGCCGATATTTAAACTGCGCCTGGTACTTGTACTAAGCACGATCGCTGAACTACCCGACTGTTGTCCCGAACGCCAGCATGAGATAAGTCAATCGGCAAGGAGGATAAGTGTATTCACACAGTACAAGTCGAGCAAGTCACTCTTACAAGAGGGCTGCATGGTATTTATTAAGTCCGCTTGATAAGAAGGCGTCAGTGGCAATGGACCAATCAGACATGACGAAAAATCGATAGTCACAGTGCGCGCTCTCCTGGCAGCGGCGTGGCAAACAGTGCTCGGGGCCTTTCTGTGAGATGAGTCGTCGTGGTAATTGAGGCATTCCCAACAGCCGGTAAACGTCCGTTAATAGGTAATCGGTAGGAAATATTGAAACAGATAAGTTACAGCCTGTACCAGACAATTTTTAAAATCTCATGCAGGCTACTTCTTAGGCATTTGACTACGAGGCCAGAAAGCTAGGGTGAGAGTGTTCTTTGCTGACAGAGGACACCATTACCATCAGCCCCGTGCACAACCAAAATCAGCTGCGTCTGAAGACAATAGGTTGAATTTCAAGGCACAATAACATCAGCATGGACCATACCGTAACCGGATTAGGGAGCCACTCTCTCACGATATCTTAAATATGGGATCGCAACGCATAGAACAATGGGCTCCTGCCCTAACAGCGGAGCGCAGGACTCCGGACCAAAAGTACACAGATTGCTGATGCCAGCGTCGGATTACTCTGGACGGACCTTGCGTGTAACAGCCTGCTGATTGTTAGGAACCAGCCTAACCGCGTGCACACACAGCCCTGACGAGTCGTTCCTACGCCATACGACCAGTCCGCTCACAGACAATGCACATGACTCGACGCAGCTGCGGCCAGACTGAGGACTCTAACACGCAAGCTGGATGAGTCACAAAGCCAGTGCAGTCGCTCCACACTTGAGACCACAATCTGAGTGGTCCAAGCTTGTACGCCTTGCTTGTCATACGTACGCTGTACTAGGTATGCGAAAAGATTTCTATTCTTGCACTCTTCTTGGTGCGTTTTTTCCTTTGGGACGGTGCAGGTTACAACACAGCCAGTGCTTTAACCAAATCACATAGGAGGCACCTCCACTGCGAGTTCTGATTCTGGCAGGTAACTCGACTTGTGTGATCAAACTTGTGGCTTTCAGTGGGCTTTGCAGTTCAGGTGGTTAGAGCGCTGGTGGTATTAAAGCCTCCCCATTGCTTTCATGGGTTCGAATTTCACAGAAGCCGCCAAATTATTCGTAAATAGGTCAAATTAAGCATTCAAATTTACCAAACCCTCCCTATTAAGAATGGATATGGCCACCGGCGCGGACTGAATTCCGAAAAATGCGGGCCACAGAGTCGCTGGCCTCTGAGCGCTGAGTCCGGAGGACGATGCCAGATGTCAAGCTGAGGTGTTGCTATAAGGTCCACACAGTACGGAGCTACTGCAACCTGGTCGGCA